TGTGGTGGTATGATTATTTCATTGTTTTCATCAGGAACTGGATATAATTTGTAGTGTTTGTATGTATCACTATATATTATAGGGAATTGAGTAACAAATATTATTTTATCTTCAGACTGGTAGGATGCTGCTTTCAGCAGATTATAATATTTATGAATATTGTACTGATCATAAACAAATGGCATTTTCAAAAAGGGATGCATTTGCTTTACCTTTTGTAACATAAACAATATATCATCTGGTTTCACTACACTGCCATGAACGATGCTGATTCTGGAAAAATCTATAGCAGTTTCTAGATCGGTCAAAATGTTCGTCATAATTGTTATTTTATAAGAAACTTGCTCCAATATATCCTTAGCTAATAAATATGTCTCTTGGTGTGACATATGTGTTCGTAAATTATTTTGCAATTCATTGATCTTATTTTGAAAAATATTTTGATTGTATGCAACAGTGTTGATAGTATCTTTAAGTGATTGAATTAGCTGAGTATTCAATGTCATCTGTCGATTCAAAGTTGCAGCTAAAGCATTTTGATTTCTTTCTAGATTGTTGATGGCTGCTTCAAATCGCCTGCCGTCTTCGGCGTCCAAACTTCCTGTAATCCACTTGCTAATTGTTCCTAAAAATTCAAAAGCTCTCTTAATTCTTCTTTGAGGCCTGATGGAATTATATTTGTTTATCATATTTTTAATCATGTTTTCCAGCAACAATTTCTGAGGAGCTATTCTTGCTAGAAGCTCCTGATTTTTGTTTTGTACACTTTTAAAAAAAAGATCAAATTCTCGTCTAATTTCACTTATTTGTTTCTTTATTAAATTGGCATCAACGTAATGTATGAAAGTGTGATATTGCTCTATCATTTTGGCTTCGCCTAATTCAAATGGTAATATTCCTGGCGTCTTCAGCTCCTCCAGTTTCACATCAGTTGGTATTTTCTTACTTTTATAAATTCCCAGTGGTAAAATACGGCGATCACTTAAATTCAATGGGGTTTTATCTGATTTGACCACATTTTGTGATACTATTAGGATGAGTAAGCCCAGAAACCTAGAATAGTTGTTTACATCAAGTTCAAAGAAACTGATTACTTTTAAAGAAAATGTATACAAATTTACTTAAAACACAATTTGCGGAAGGCTGTTTCTTTCAATTATATTGCAACAAGATGATGACAGTTTAGAGTTTAGATATAGTTAATAACCAAAAATAGGAAATCTATTGAAGATGTAAATGTTTCTTGATAAATGCTTAAAAATTTATATTCAGATGGATAAAAAATCAATGCAACAAAGCTGACAAGGATGTATTCGTCAAAAACTATTTAGAGAGCAGCTGGGAATTTGAATGTACAAAATCGGAAAGTACTATCCCCGGGTTGAAAATGACTATAATTATTTAAGAACTTTACTGACTTGCAAAAACTAAGTGGGCAATTCTACCGTAAGAGCTTATAAAATGGCGTTGTCATGGCAACGCTCTCTTATGCTTGCTTTTGGTATTGAAAATTATGAACATGTCTATTTATTTGCCGTACGATCAGGCGTATTTTACATATAAACAAGCAGGGAATAATGTTATGTTAACTTTACCATCTAGAATTATGTTATAACATTCTCTGCACCATCTAGAATTTTGTTATCATAACATTCTCCCTTGCTTTATTTTTATGTAAAATACGCCTGATAGATCGACTTTTTCATAAATTTCAATACCACAAGTATAAGAGAGCGTTGCCATGACAACGGTATTTATGAGCTCTGTTACGACAGAATTCGCCCATATTTCTTGGAAGTAAATTCGTAAAGTTACATTTAAATGGATCCAAAAATCAATATAAGGGAAGGTATATAGAAAAAATGAAGAAATCTTTAGATAAGAAGCCTTGAACGCAAATGCAATGTTTGAATATACTAACAAATCTTTAGTAAACAAAGTGTAATCTTACCAAGTTCTCATGATGTCCATTCAGATGATTACGGAAACACTTTGAAAGCTTCTGAATTAACACTTCTTTCGATACTATTTTTGCTCGTATTTACGATGATATTTTCAACAAAACAGAATTTTATAGCTTAATACTAATAATTTTATTCCGGTTGCTTTTATACACTTTTTTATCTAATCACTCGTCAGAAAGTGAGGTGACAAAAACAACTAATGTATTCAGTTCTTTGGATACCAAATCAAGGTCTTGGGATTCAAATTTAAGGATCATCATGTTTTATAAATAAAAAAGGAACTTGATAACAATTACAATTTTACTAAACTTCTCATTTGAAAAATAATTGGATTTATTTTAAAACCTTTATCAAAAATCATTATTTTAATATATTTTTCGGCCAAAAATCCGATTCGATAATTTTATGTTTCAAGTCATTCTGAATCAAATGATACAAAATTTGGAAAAAGTATGTGTGTGTTTTTGTACGTGAGCCGATTTTTACCCTTTCCTCGACGTTTTTTCAGAAACGGCTGGACCGATTTCACAATTTTTAAATCCATTCGATGTATCTTGATGAAAATCTGCGTTGGTTAGTTTTGCGCAACGATCGGTCGAGCCGTTTCTTTGTTATTGGCAAAAAAGTGTAAAGATTTTCGTCCACGTTTTAGCCCACAATCTTGAATCGATTTTAAAAATTCAAAAACAGTTCGAAAGATTTTGTTTAGCAATCGTACTAAGTTTTCTAGTATTTAATTGTAGAATTTTTTTTTCGACGATTTTCAAGAAACTTTTTTTTGAAGATAGATATCATGATAGATATTTATATATGTTGCGCTAGATAAAATTAAATTAATATGAAATACTATATCCACTTGTAGCAAAATTGATAAAATGTAATAAAGTATAATAAAAATTCATGGTCTTGTAGAACATACTAAAATACTTTGGTCCTACAAAAAGTTGTTTAATTTTTAAAATTCATCAAAGTTTGAAAAAATATAAGTCAAAATTTCAGTCAGAAGTAATGTGATAAGTCAAAATTTGAATTTATTCGGTTTGGTTTGTTAAGCGAACAAAATTTCATTACGTTGGAGCAAAACTTAAAAATTGTAACTTTTCATTTAAAAATGCGAATATTTCACTCGAATAAATTAAATTTTGCTTAGAGAGATTCTCACCAATTGTTAAAACTAATATTGATTCCGAGTAAATTCGGAAGTAAACCTTTAAAATTTTTATATTTTTAAAAAATAATTGGACCCTGCGCGTGTTAAATGTTAATATCTGGAAACTATTGTTTGACTCATCCTTATTTACGTTTAAAACTCATCAATAATAAGAAAAGATAAAAACTATATTAAACACCGACTTTTTTTCGTAATGTATTAATCGATTGTAATTATTTATAAATTAAATATATAGATTGCACGATACAGGATAATGCAAATACGTTTTTGTTTGTTTGAAATGATTCAGCATTTTGCTATTAATAAAACAAGCTTTATTATTAGATCTAAGGTATGAAAGATAAAAGTGTAGTAAATTTATATATGACTTGGAAGAGAAAGTGATATCTATAAACAAAGTTGTCTTTAGCACTTGTTTTTTTAAAATTACGAAACCAATGGACCTGCCAGAGTCTGTGTAAAAATCTGATCCAGCAAGAAAATAATGATTCAAGAAAGAATTAATTTCTAGAACATTTAGTTTTTGCCTAGTATTATAAAGAACCTAATAATGTTCTACATTTTACAGTTGATGCATCTAAAAAGAACGTAAGTCACGGAGAAATTTCAAGTTTAGTTTTTTGACATTGCCAAAATATTTTTTCATCCAAACTTTCTCACACAACGCACATCAATAAATTCAATCAACAATTAATAAAACAATTACAATGACAAATCATCAATGACAACATGCTAAAAAAAACGTTATATTTAAACCAATTACCAATTATCGTTATCTACATATACGAGTATATAAAAATAAGTCGAGTTTTCCTTCCTGACGAAATAACTCCAGAACGCACGAACCGATTTCGACGATTTTTCATTCGTTGGAAATGTCTCGGGCTCCGTAAGGTTTTTAGCTAAGAAAATTAGTGGTGGCATCGTGCATTAATGCAAATTGATGGAATTTCACGCACCGTAATTAAAAATTCGAGTAATGACATTAGTGAGAATTATCAGAATTATGCTTGGTTAAGTCAACGAGCAATTCTTGCCGCAAACAATAATGATGTACACGCACTGAATTTCACCATTCAATCAAATATTGCTGGCGATTTGGTGACATACCAATGATTCCGACTGGTCCTCCGTTTGACTTCAAACGATTGCAATTTCCAGTTCGCAATAACAAGTCGCAAGGCCAATCGCTTAGTGTTTGCGGGATAAATTTCAAATAGATTATTTAGAAAATCATTGTTTTTCACATGGGCAGTTATACGTTGCCTGTTCACGAGTTAGTTAACGTCAGACCAAAAAACAAAAAATGTGGTTTACCAAAGAGCACTTCAATGAAACGGATAATTTGCGGATTCACTTTCATTTACTTAGAGAAGTTTAACTAAAAAACACTTCGATTTTTGTAATCGAAATAAATTCATTACTGTTGTATAATAAAATCAAATTTTTCCTGTTCAAATATAAAACAAACAAAAAATTTCTTCATCTTTCTCACGAAACCATCTGGTGGCGAAACGGAGTTCGTCGGGTTTATAAATTAAACAGGAAAAAAAACCTATAACGAGTAATCTCTTCTTATTGCCAAATTTTTAACTTGAAGGATATAATATCTACAGAAAATCTTCATCCGATATTTGAAAAATTAACTTCATGAGATACTTTTTGAAACTTGCCTTGTGAGTTTCGAAACCCTCACCTTATTTTGGCCTGTGTCCTACAGAGGCATTATAACAAATCCATTATAAAAATAAAACAATCACCAAATTTCTTAAGAAGGATAGTAATTGTTCGTTCACGTAACACAAAATCAATAAAAAAATAAGCAAAATCATCATATAAAGTTACAAAAAATTTAAAACCTCCATTGGTGACTGGAAGGGTCTTCTGGCCCCATCTGCTCCTTCTCCATTGTCATCATAATAGTCTCGAATAAAATTTACAATATTTTTTTTAAATTTTGAAATCGCTCGCTCTGTTTTTTTTTCGTTCCCGGCGAGCGTTTCTCTTCCCGCGATGGTATAATCGTTTTGATTTATTCTTTATGGAATCGTCTCCTGAAAACGAATGAAAAATGAACTAGTGGTGTATGGCATCGTGCCTTAAGGCAAATTGCTGAAACTTCCCGTACCGTAATGATATATTCGAGGAATTTTAAACGTTTTCAAATATATTATTATAAATACTGTAACTTTCATTATTTTTGCTATCTTGTTATATCTTAGCAAATCAAAAGTAAATCATAAATCAATTTATTTCCAGAACATTAACAATCGTCATTTCATTTCGAATTCAATTTAAAAAAAAAAATAGTTGCCCAGTGCTGGATTTACAGTAGGGGTAGTCGGGGCTACTGCCCAGGGCGACAAATTTTCGGGGCCGGCAAAATTTGGATAGTGAAAAAAAAATTTATATAATATAATTAACTCATTTACTTCATAACATTTTTTATTCAAGAAATATAATTAACAAAACATAATACGATTTCACTGCAAAATTTGGCAATTTTGCTAATTAAAAGTTCCTAAATGAGCTCAAAATTTAAAAAACAATGCTCTTCAGATCTCGAGCACTCTTAAGATGACGAATTTGTGCACTTCCAAGCTTATAGTGTCAAAAATAAAATTAAACTATTGACGCATGGCATTGTGCCTTAAGGCAAGTTACTGAAACTTTCCGTGCTGAAAATTACATTTTATAAAGAGCTTTAAAAAATGTTTAAAAATGAAAAAAATTGAATTTAAAAAACATTGAATGTTTTCGAAAATTATGAACTTTCATGTATTAAAATTGAATTTTATTTGAATGTTAATGAAATAATCCTATTGATAACGAGACGTGCTGATTAGTTATTGGCCAAGACAGGTCCAATTTTTTCGAAAATACGGGCCGAAATGCCAAAAACGATAATTCAGTTTTTGAGAAACGGACCGTCTAATATCATTAAAATTTACATGTATAGACAAAATGAAGAACTGCTTAAATTTGTGGGAGGCAATTCTAGGGGTTTCGGTGATCCAATAAAAAAAAATCGATATTTGAAAAAACATGTGGCGGTCAAAAGTGATCATTAGACACAATTATCAGATATTTTAATAATAAGTATAAATTTTATTTACATTTCTATGGGTTCTGTAACATTATTTATCCGTTATACTGCGACGCGGCGCTTACGCGCTTCTATATTTGGACTCGTTTATCGCTTTAAAAAAATATGAAAAAACCCTAATTTTTCAAAAAAAGTCAAATTTTTACAAAGTTTAAATTTTTTTTTTTATAAATTTTGATTTTCGGCACGGAAAGTTCCAGCAATTTGCCTTAAGGCGCTATGCCAAGCACCACTATTTAAAGTATGTAATGCGTAATCAATTTGAAATGAGTTTTTATATAAAAATTATTTAACTATTAATGCTGGGGTGGGGCGGCATTTTTGTCAGTGCCCCAGGGCGCCAAAATTCTAAATCCGGCCTAATTTACACAAAATTGAATTGAAGTGCTTCCGTATAGTCACAGTCTAAACGCATTTGCAAATAATTCTGTGCGATATTTTCACTTATACTGTGCTTAGTTTGACGGCATTGTCACATTTTCCAATAGTTTTCACAAAATTGGAAAAGTACTCCAGTACGTAAACAGTCTAAACGCACTTGGGTAAGCGTTTGTACCAGAGTGGCGCTTAGACTGTGCTTAGCCTGGGTAATTTTTTAAATTATCAATCCAAAATTACAAAAATATTTTGTAGAAAATGAAAAAAGATGTAATAATTTTTTATCCTCAAAAGCAATTGTTTTGTAAATTCAAGCAGAAAGTTTTTCAGATCATTCAAATCGGACGCTTGGTTTATTCAAAAACTGCCATTTTTTGCACATTTAACTCTGTATCTTCGAAATGCCGGGACCTGTCTTTGCCAAAAACTAATAACCACTTCTCTCAACCATTACAAATTGAATGTTTTTTATATCATTCAAGTCCGATACTCCGTTATCTCAAAAACTCGATTTGTATTTTCTGCACCCTTTGCTCCGTATCTCCGTAACGTTTGATCCTGCCTTTGCCAAAAACTAATCAGCACATCTCCCCCATCAATAGGAATCGAATGTTTTTTGAACTATTCAAATCAGTTGATCCGTCCGAAAACGTGGACGAAAAAATGCGGACTTACAAAACACACACCCACATCCATTTAGTTTCTGAGGTATGCCAGTAAAATGTTCAGAAACCTTCAAAACGTCGAGAAATGCAAAACTTTTCATTTTTGATTTTCGGTCCATTACTATAACTACCCTACGGTAGTTAAACTATATTATTATAGTTTACTGGATGATCCATTGATTACATACCTCAAATCTTCTAGATCTTTATCCTTGTCAGCATCCTGCATCAGACCGCCACTCGATTTTCGTCCGCAGACGCACCTGTCATACCAATTGTTCTTGCATTCGCACATTCCAAAATCACTCGATCTGAACAAAACTTCGATCTCTCGGCTGCCCCTTTGGCCCGGCATTGATCCGTTACTAACCGCATCATCTTGATCCATCAGTTCTAACAAAAAACAAATAAACTAGTTGGTATTGGTATTTTGCCTTGAGGCAAGTTACATTAACTTCCCGATATGTGTAAATAATCGACTTAATAAAATATAAATTAATTTATGAGAGATTAAAAGTATTCAGAGTGGTTCTATTACACATAATTGAAAACGAACGAACATGTTGACTCGGAGTATTTTCTAAAAGCAAATTTTCAAAAATCAACAATTTTTATTTTTTTAGTATGATTATTAAGACCAAGTACTCTATCGCCTAAGTAATTAAATCGTGTAATTTTAATTTTAACAAACGTAAAAAAAACTACTCATTTTCTCAAACTTTAATGAATTTTTAAAATTAAACTACTTGTAAGGCCGTGATATTTCAGTAAGTTCTATAAGACCATGATATATATATCGCCAAAAAAAGTTCCATAAAAATTGGCTTAAATTTTTTTTTTCAACAGTTAATTGAAATACAACAAGAAACGGCTGGGTAGATTTTCACCTAAAACTAATCAGTATCATTCCCAACTAATATCTTTCGAACAGTTTTTAACTTTCCTTAGGGTAGTTATAGTAATGGGCCAAAAATCGAAAAAGAAAATTTTTGTATTTCTCGACGTTCTGAAGGTTTCTGAACATTTTGGCATACCTCAGTCCGCATTTTTTCGACCACCTTTTCGGGCGCACGGATCAACCGATTTGAATGGTTTAAAAACATTCGATCCCTATTAATAGGGGGATGTGCTGATTAGTTTTTGGCAAAAACAGGTCCAGCCGTTAAGGAGATACGAAGCAAAGAGTACAGAAAATACAAATCGAGTTTTTGAGAGATCGGAGCATCGGATTTGAATGATCAAAAAAACATTCAATTCGTAATGACGGGAAGAAGTGGTAATTAGTTTTTAGCAAAAATAGGTCCAGCGGTTTCGAAGATACAGAGCTAAATATGTGAATAATGGCAGTTTTTGAGAGAAGTAAGCGTCCGATTTGGATTATTTAAAGAACTTTCTGCTTGTTTCAACAAAATAATTGGTTTTGGAAATAAAATATTTTCAAAAAAAATTTTTGTATATTGAAAATAATTCAGATTTTAATTTTAATTATGACAAGCTATAATATACTTTAAACAAATAATTTCAACTGCCAATGTTACAATATTTATAAAAATCTATATGTTACGGTACGAGAAGTTCCTGCAATTTGCCTAAAGGCAACAGTTTTTTTTTCAATAGTTAATTACAAAAAAACGGCTCGGTAGATTTTTACCTAAAACTAGTCAGTATCATTCCCAACTAATATCTTTCGAGCAGTCTTTGATTTTTCAAAATCAATTCGGTAGAATGAGCTTACATGCTCGTGGACGGTAAGTTTTCCCAAATTACAAAAAAACGGCTCGAAACATCGTCTCACAAAACTTACAAACAATAATGCTAATTGAGATAGATCAAATAACTTTTAAATTTCTGAAATCGGTTCAGGCGTTTTTGAGGAAACGTCGATCAAAGGTATAATTTGGACAAACGCCGAAAAACGATACTAATTTTTGCAAACTTTGAAAAATTTTCAAAATTAAACGGCTTGTCGTAGGGCCGTCACAATTTAGTATGATCTACAAGACCATAGTCTACCGTTAAAAAAAATCATAAAAATTGACGATGTTTTTTTTTAAAAAAACTTACAAGAAAACAGCCCGGCCGATCTTTACCAAAAACTAATCAGCACGATTCCCAACCAATATTTATCGAATGGTTTTTGAATTTTCAAAATCGATTCAAAATTGCGGGCTAAAACGTGGACAAAATTTTTTCACTTTTCTGCAATTTACAAAGAAACGACCCGGCCGATTGCCGCACAAAACTCAAAAACCCCAGTCCTCATCGAGATACATCGAATGGCTTTTAAATTTTTAAAATCGGTCCATCCGTTTTGGAGAAAACGTCGATTTACGGCAAAAAATCTGTTCACACACACACAGGCATACACACACATACACACACACATACTTTTTCATTAAGTTTGGTCTCATTCGATTCAGAATGGCTTGAAACGTCGAGAAAACATAAAATTAGCGATTCGGATTTTTTGATGAAAACATAAACTTCTCCTTCGGGAAGTTAATTTTAGTATTTTGCCTTGGTTACCTCCGTCTCCAAATAATATTGTATCCACTCTTCTCCTCTTGGCAGGTATCCTTTTTCTCATAGTCCTGGTCGGCTTTCTTCTTTTGACACCAACTGGTTTCTTCGTCTTCACAGATTTACCAGCACCCTTGGTGTTCTTCTTTTTGCCTTTCTTAGTAGTTTTCTTTGGCTGAGGTTTTCTATCATCATCTTCCGAAGATGAGACATATGATTGGGAATCTTCATTGGAATCTGTTGCGGAGGATCGGGCTCTTTTGCGTTTTCGATCTAAAATTAAAAAAAAAAAACTAAATGTAAGAAGCATTAAGCATTGTGGTAAGTTGTGAGAACTTTCCGATATGAGTAAATAATAGATCAATAAAAATGATTTTTTTGCGTATCTTTACGTTTCAGAGGTTTCTGAACATTTTGGCATACCTTAGAAAAAATGGATATAATGTGTGGGTGTGTGCAGATAGGTTCATAAAAACATAGAAATTTTGTCCGGTACACTCTTTTTTAATTAGCTTAGCAAAAACTGGATAAAATTTACTAAAATCTTTTATAAAATGTTTTATATTTCCCTATACGAACAATTTTGTGAAAAAATGAAACTATTGTGAATTACTCTAGCACGTATTGAACACTTTTTTTTAAATAACATTGAAATTTTTTTCCGTGTACTCTTTTTAATATACTCAGCAGAAACTAGATAAACTTTACAAAAATCCTGTATATATATCATTTTGTATGCCCCGATGCAAACTTTTTTGTAAAAAAATGAAACAATTTTAAATTACTCTAAAACGTATTGAACAATATAAGGATTCGGGAGACTTTTTTAATTTTTTTTCAAATAACATTGATATTTAGTTCCGTGCACTCTTTTTTAATTAGCATAGCGAAACTGGATATAATTTACTAAAATTTTGTATAAACTGTTTTATATTCTCCTATACGAAAATTTTTGTGAAAATATGAAACTATTATGAAATAATCTGGAACGTATTGAACAATATCAGTGCTGGATTACAGTAGGGGCAATCGGGGCTACTGCCCAGGGCGGCAAATTTTGGGGGGCGGCAAAATTTGGATAGTGAGAAAAAAAAATCTATACAATATAATCAACTTTTTTTAACAACATTTTTTATTTCAAGAAATATAATTAATAAAATATAATACGATTGCAATGCAAAATTTGGATTGAAAAAACCGATAACTAAAATTTATTATTTTGCCTTGCCTCCCTCTCCGAACGTAAATTATCAATGTGGTTAATAAGTTATCAAATTTGGCAATTTGGCTAATATAAAGATCCGTGAACAAGCTGAAAGTTTAAGAAAAATATGTTCTTCAGTTCTCGAGCCCTCTTAAAATGACGAATTTGTGCACTTCCAAGCTTACTACTGACTCATGGCATTGTGTCTAACAAATTACTGAAACATCCCGTATTAAAAATTACATTTTATAAAGAGCTTTAAAATTTTTTGAAAAATGAAAAAAAAAGACTTTTAAAAGACATTTTTCGTATTTTGAATTTTTTTGAAAATTATGAACTTTTTGTAAAGCAATCGCGCAGCGTAGCTGTTTCAGAGAAGAAAAATCGAAACTCAATTACCATTTTTCGTAATTGCTTGTCCCAAAATCTCTCCATCAATACAAATCTAATATTTTTTAATTATTCAAGTCAATTTCGAGAACATGGATTAACCGATTTAAATGATTCAATTCCTATTGATAAGGAGACGTGCTGATTAGTTATTGGCCAAGGCAGAACCAACTGTTTTGAAGATACGGGTCAAAATTCCAAAAATGATAGTTTCGTTTTTGAGAAAAAAAGCGTCCAATATCATTCATAAAAATTACAGAATAAATAACTGCTTAGATTTGTGGGGGGCAGGTTTAGCGGTTTCGATGATCCAATAAAAAATTTGAGAAAGAAACATTTGGCGGACAAAAGTGATCATAAGACATATGCGCATTAAGATATCAGATATTTTAAAGATATTATAATAATAAGCATAAATTTTGTTTACATTTATATGCGTTCTATAACATTGTTTATCAGTTGACTGCGACGCGGCGCTTACGCGCTTCTATATTTTGTCCCTACGCAACTGAAGCAGCGCGATTGCTTTAAAAAAAAGTACGAAAGTTCGTAAAATTTCAGGGATGGGGCGGCATTTTTGTCAGTGCCCCGGGGCGCCAAATTTCTAAATCCGGCCCTGACAATATATGTATTCGGGACACTCTTTTACATTTTTTTAAATATTTGAAATTTTGTTCCATGTACTTTTTTTTAATTAGCTTAGCAAAAACTAGATGAAATTTGACTGATTTGATTTTGTAAAAACTGTTTTATATTCCCCTATACAAAAAAATTTGTAAAAAATGGAACTATTGTGAATTACTCTGGAACGTATTGAACAATATATGGATTAGGAACATTCTTTTAAATTTCTTCAAATAATATTGAAATTTTGTTCTGTGTACTCTGTTTTAATTAGCTCAGCAGAAACTAGATAAAATTTACTAAAACCCTGTATACACCATTTTGTATGCACCGATGCAATCGTTTTGTGAAAAATTACTTAAACACGAAAATTTTGTTTCGAGCACTCAGCCCTTTTTAACCAATTGTTTAAATGTAAAACCTAAATACCTTAAAAAAGACCTGAATAATAAATATTGAACTCACTGTAAATGTCCAAAAGTCGAAAATGAATTTTTTTTTTGCATTTACGTTTCAGAGACTTCTGAACATTTTGGCATAAGTTATCGTTAGAAAAAAATTATGTATGTGTGAGTGTTTATATGTGCGGATACTTTTTATCCACGTTTTCGGGAGCACGGATTAAACGATTAAAATGGTTCAAAAAGCATTCGATTCCTATTGAAAGGGTGTTGTGCTGATTAGTTTTTGGCAAAGACAAGTCCAGTTGTTTCGCAGATACGGAGCAAAGAGTGCAGAATATGACAATTAAGTTTGTAAGAGTACTGTGCATCTGATTTGAATGATTCAAAAAACATTAAACTTGTATTGACGCAATGAAGTGATTGAATTTTTACAAAGACAGATCCAGCGGTTTGGGGGTCACAGAAAAAAAGTGAAAATGCCATTTGGGGGTCGAAAATCTAACATTTTTGACGATATGGATCAACCAACATGAATGAGTATAAAAAACTTTCAAGAAATTTAAAAACTCTGAATAAAAAACAAAAAATTTCTTCATTTATTATAACTTTTTTTTCAAATTTCTCGAAAATATTAAAATTTATTGATGGCCTTAATGTAAATTGCTGGAACTTCCCGTACCGTAACGAAATGTTTGAAGAATATTGAATGTTTTCAAATAGATTATTATAAAGAAATACTGTAACATTGTCCAATATTTATAAGAATTATATAAACTGAATTGCAAAGTTGAAAATATTCATTTTAAGTATATAAGTGAGATTTAAATTTTTAATTAGCAAAAATTAAAATTAAAATCTGAACTATATTTCGATATAAAAAAATAGATTCAAAAGCAATTGTACTGACAATACAAGCAACAAGTTTTTTAAATTATTAAAATAGAATGCTTATTTCTTTCAAAAACTGCCATTTTTTGCACATTTAGCACTGTATCTCCGAAATGGCTGAACCTGCCTTTGCCAAAAACTAATCACCACTTCTACTCGTTATTACGAATATAATTTTTTTTAGATGATTCAAATCGGATGTTCCGTTCTCTCAAATACTAGTTTATTTTCTGCACTCTTTGCACCGTATATCCAACATGGCTGGACCTGCTTTTGCCAAAAACTAATCAGCACATCTCCCTGTCAATAGAATCGAATGCTTTTTGAAACATTCAAAATCATACATACATACATACATACATACATACATACATACACACACACACATCCATTTTTTCTTAGGTATGCCAAAATATTCAGGAACCTCTGAAACGTCAAGATATGCAAAACAATTTATTTTCGATAATCTAGTCAAACAAACGATTCTACTGATGGTGAATATATTATATGAAAGCTTTCTCGTTTGATTATTTATATTTTCCATAGGTCTCTAATAATTATCGAGATTGAATATTTCTCAATAAAATATTGAAAAGTGCTGAATTATTGATTTATGACCAGCATTATAGGACCATGTTTTTTAAAAATTCTCTATAAATGATAAAATAAACTAACAAACATTTAAAACAAAATTTTTTTCAGTGATATAATAAAAGTTCATTAATTTTATTAGTTATAAACAATTAATAAATGCTAATATATATTTTAGTATGTATTTTTTTTAAACCAATTTTGGAGTAAAATATTCACAAAAATGTCGGCGTTTTCCGCATTGCATTTTTAAGAAGTAACAACCACAAATTTATATCAGGTAATTGAAATTTAGTCCATGTCTCTGATCCGTACAGAACAACACACAATATTCATCATTTTCATCAGCTTTTTGTTGGTTCACATTTCGTTTTCTGCCATTTATGAAGTATTTCGAAAATTTCATATCTTTATTTTACTATGTAACTTATTTCTAAGAAAAATCTTCTTACAGTCCAGGTCTCTAAACTGTACAGAGTAGTTCCTTCTGCCAAAAACTAATCAGGAATCGAATGCCTTTTGAACCATTCAATATCATACGTACATACATACTTAAATACACACACACAAACGCATCCATTTTTTCTGAGGTATGCCAAAATATTCAGGAACCTCTGAAACGTCAAGATATGCAAAAAAATTATTTTCGATTATCAAATCAAATTTTCTCACAATTTACTTTTAGAAAATAGCTTCTACTGATGGTGTTATTATCTATTTACCTCTAGATCGATCCGAATCATCATCCGATGAACTCGAATCACCATCTTCGTCGCGTTTTCTCTTCCTATCACCAGTCTTCTTTTTCTTATTTTTCCTTCTATAATCCTCATCATCACTCGATTCATCCTCATCATACCTATCACCACTCCGATTTTCCTCGTCGCTGCTCGAATAGGAAAAATCTTCGTCATCGTCATCTTCTCGGCCCTTCTTGCCCTTCTTATTATTTTTCTTGGCAGTTTTCTTTCGATTCGCGCCCTTCTGTCGAGTCGTCACTTTGGCGACTACGGCGACAGATTTCTTAGGGGTGACTTGGGTAGAGTTGTCGGTCGATTGGACGCTTTTTTTGGGCGCCACTTTGGAAGAAGATGGAGGTTTTTTCCGTTTGCACCTCCTGGGCCATAGTGCCGGACTTTTTGGTATCCTCTTCGGCCTCTTGGTGGTTCACAAGACCGCGGCGGACGTTGCTCCGGGTTAGAGCTGGGGGTAAAAGATACAGATGAATAGCAGAATTATATTGTGGGTGGCATTATGAGAGACTTACGTTTTTTGTGACTTCTTTTGTTTCGGCGTTGGTAAGGTGCAAGTGCATTGCAATCATCGTTATCTGAAAAATCTGAAGATAGGTCGTCCATCGCTTTGGTATTGTGTTTGTGATTGTGATTTACGTGACATTGGCGAAACTGTGAAGAAATACAAAAAACTATGTAATTTTGAATTATTCAAATCGGACGCCCCGTTCTCTCAAAAACTGAGTTATCGTTCCTGGCACTTTTTGCCCCGTATCTTCGGAACGGCTAAACCTGCCTTCGCCAAAAACTAATCAGCACGTCTCCTTATCAATACGCATCGAATGTTTTTTGAATTATTCAAATCGCTTCATTCGTGTTCCCGAAATCGTCGACGAAAGTTTGTATCCGCACACGCGCGCACACACATACATTCATTTTTTCTAAGGTATGCCAAAATGTTTAGAAGGTTTTGAAACGTAAAGATATATAAAAAATTTCCATTTTCGATTTTTTTGCGATTACTATAACTTGCCCTACGGAAAGATAATAATAGTAATAAAAATAATAGAAATAAATAAATAAGAGTAATGAATAAAAGTAGTAATAAAAATTATAAGTAATAATAAAAATAGTAATAACAAATAAAATCTGAAATAAATTTTTATAAACAGGAAAATTCTCCTATCAAATATTCCATCATGGTTGTGAATCCTCCGTGAATAAGCTACATTAATTTATTAATGTATATAATTATATCAACCGTGTGTGTGGGTGTATGTATGTATCTGTGTATGTGCGGATACAATTTTTTGTCGCCGATTTCGAGAGCACGGGTCAACCGATTTGAATGGTTCAAAAAACATTCGATTCCTTCGTTTTTGGCAAAGGCAGGTCCAGCCATTTCGGAGATACGGGACCAAGTTCGCAAAAAATGGAAATTAACTTTGTGAGAGAACAGAGCATTCGATTTGAATTGTTCAAAAAAAATTCACGGAATTTTAGAAATATTTGATTTTTTTAAAAGGCAGGTTTAGCGGTTTCGGAGATTCAATGAAGAAGTTTATAAAAATGCCTTGGTGGTCAAAAGTGATCATTAAATACATGCACGTCAATTTATCAGGTATTTCAATAATGAGTTCAAATGTTATTTACATTTCTATGGGTTCCAAGATTTTTAAACGGAGCGCTTAGGCGCTTCGATATTTCGTATCTAAAACAGCCACATAGCGCGATCGCTTTAAAAAAAATTCAATATTACCAAATAATTTGAAAAATTATTATGTTCTCAAAAATGTTAAAAAACAGTTCAGATATTTTTTTAAACTTCAAAATTCTCAAAAAATCCATTTTCTTCAAAATTTTCCAAAAATGTTTAAATTAAGATTAAAAACTTTTGAAAGTTTTAAATTACGGGTTGGGAAATTGCTCAATTGTTCTCAAAAATGTTAAAATAGTTCGGTTTTGTTCCAAATAATTCAAAATGCTCAAAAAATTGAGTTTTCTCAAATTTTTCAAAAAAATTAAATTTAGGATTAAAAAAGCTTTTGAAAATTTTAAATTGCGGCTTGGAAAATTGCTCAATTATTCTCAAAAATGTTAAAAGTAGTTCAGATTTTTTTAAAAATTCAAAATTAAAAAAAAATATAATTTTTCAAATTTTTCAAAAAATGTTTGAATTAGGATTAACAACTTTTAAAAAATTTAAATTACGGTTTGCAAAGTTTCAGCACTTTGTCTTAAGGAACGATGATGCCCCTTACAACTAGTTTATATTTGTATTTTGAAAATTGGAATATAAATTATTTTATATTATTAGCAAGCAAAACTTTATTAATTAAAAAATGTCTTTGTATTGAAATATGTATACACAAAAACAATTATTGAAATTGCAACTTGCCAATAGGATGAATTTCGCTTAAAATACAATTTCTGATGAAAAATAAAAATAATAGTTATCATGATATTCTTTGGATAATTACATAATGCATATTATATTTTATTATATATTACTCGATTGACATTCAAATTAGCAAAGGTCTGTGTATATATATATATATTATATATATAATATATAATATATTTTTATATACATTTGTATATATGAAATACTTACACTTTTTGTAAATCTGTGATGAGGTCTTCGCACAAAAAAAGAGCTTGAAGAACCTTTAAGTGGTATCAAACTACAAGATCTTTTTACTATTTTACCTGGAAATAATTATAAATTTCTTTGTCAAGGCAAAGATTCATAAAATAATCTTTAATTCCAAACGAATTAAAGATTATTTTATAAATCTTTGCCTTTTCTTTGTTTGATGTATCGCCCTCAAGAACTCATATATTTCAACATCAAAATTAACTACTAAATCATATATATATATATATATATATATATATATATATATTATATATGTCAATAATATAATTAGAATACAAGGAGAAGTTTTCGAGTAAAGAACTAACAATTATCAGAACAAAAAACTTGGGCATCGAGAAAATGCATTTTATTTATAGCATCTTAAACATCAATCAATATATTGATAATGAGTATATTTTTTTTATTAGTTATTAATGAATTGATAGATCTATCTATCGAGCTGCAAATCCTGATTTTTCAGTTAAAATTTTAGTCAACAATGATTTTATTAATTTTGTTACTGTAACACCAGTAATGATGCATCAAATCAAAAATTGGATTTTTACTCAAATCACCATTGCACTTATTGACTTTGTCGTATTGTTAACTTATTGACTTCAGAATAAATATCTCAATTACCAGATTTTGTTACTTTATCACTATTTATTCGAATCAAGTAGCAGATGTATAGGTAAAAATTTTGTTAACAGATCAATCAAAATCCAATTATTGTTCATTTTGTTCTAGTAACACCAGCAAAAATGCATAAAAAATTGGATCTACATTTCATTTGTCTTACCTATTTTACCTCTTTTGTTTCCACACAAACAGAATGATGGTGCCCTAAGCCCCTTCTCTCTGTATTTTTTTATAAGGCTTTCCAACTTTTCAATGTGCTCTTGCATTAAATGGTCAAAAGTCTGATTGTAAAGAACTGAAAAAAAAAAAAAGTATGATTTAACACGTTAATTGCCATGTCAGTCATATGTGTCTGACGCTAAGAAACTCCGCATAAGCCATGTCAGAGAAAAAAATTTAATATTTGTTGATGTCAGTCATATATGTGTGATATGAAAAATAGTGTTTTTCCAGAAATTTCATAAAACATTTTTTACTAAATAAGTTAATCTGATGGCTCATTCGAGAACATGTTTCTGATTTTCTGAAAAAATAAACTAGTGGGGTGGGTGGCATCGTGCCTTAAGGCAAATTGCTGGTACTTCCCGTACCGTAACGTATATTATAAGAATTATATAAATTGAAATGGGAGTTGAAATTATTTGTTTAAAGTATATTAGAACTACAGTCAAAATTAAAAATAAAATCTGAATTATTTTCGATATACAAAAAAAAATTAAAAAAAAAAAAAAAAAAAAAAAAATGGAACAAAAATTTTTTTTCAAAATCAATTATTTTGTTAAGACAAGCAGAAAGTTCTTTGAATCAATTGAATCGGACGCTTAGTTCTCTCAAAAACTGCCATTTTTTGTACATTTAGCTCTGTATCTCCGAAATGGCTGGCCCTGCCTTTGCGAAAAATTAATAACCCCTTCTCCCAATTATTACTAATTGAATGTTTTTAGATCATTCAAATCGGATGCTCCGTTCTCTCAAAAACTCGATTTCTATTTTCTGCACTCTTTGCTCCTTATCTCCGTAACTGCTGGACCTGCCTTTGCCAAAAACTAATCAGCACATCTCCTTATCAATAGGAATCGAATGTTTTTTAAACCATTCAAATCGGTTGATCCGTACGCCCGAAAACGCGGGCGAAAATTTGTATCCATACATACATACACACACACACATCCATTTTTTCTGAAGTATGCCAAAACGTTCAGAAACCTTCAAAACGTCGAGAAATGTAAAAATTTTCAATTCCGATTTTCGGCCCATTACAATAACTTACCCTACGGGAAGTCAATAAAAAGTCCAATTTCCTATTTTTGAAAATCAGTAATCATAATATTTAACACTTTAGTTAGGAATGTATTTTTCTACAGGAGTGACACTGCTGTACGAACCAACCAGACACCTAAGTATTAAAAATTCCACATTCAATATCAATAATAAAATATTTGAAAATTCGAATTACATTTCTAAAAAAAAACTACATCCATAATAACAAATTAGAATTCTCAATAATTTAACTCAGTCAAACAATCAGATAAATGCTGAAGTAAAATTTGGCACACTGGATGTAGTCTTTAGGTAGACACTCGTACACACAGGTAGTAATACAGACGTAGATTTAAGAAAAGGCTAATTAATTATTCAAAGTTGATTTTTTTTCGTGACCCACATAAATACCATGCGTTTACCACGTAATACTGAAAAAACGAATCTTGGTCTTCCACCAAATGCTTCGAATATGCCTTCGTTAAAAAAATATGTATAAATCGTGTTAATATAAAATTAGGCGTGAAATCAGATGGTAAACATGTTATTACTTTGTTATCAATTTATTGTAGATAAATTAGATAAAATATTTATTTACCTCTGTTCCTGGACATGTCCTGGTTAGCCATCATATTGGCAAACGATGGCTGTGCCATTACATAATCAGCCATCCGTGTACGGCTTGGCACATTCGAAACCTTTTCGGAAGATAAAAGTCAAATTTATAAAATTTATAAAAGATCAATAAAACAGGGTGTTCCAAAATTCTACGAGGTCAAACTTGATGAACAAGCATTGGTCAAACTGTGGCTATTTTTGGTTAGTGTGGTTGATTTTTATTATTTTTCTTCATTTAAACCTAGATTTTTCTTTCGAGACAATTTCATTTCAAGTATGTATTTTGATGTCAATATTGTAAAAAATAATTATTCTATATCCAATCTCTGTGATCACAATGCGAACACTTACTGTAGGCAATAATATCATTTTTCTAATCTCACTTTTTATTCACAAATTGAACTAATAACTATAAAAAATCTAATAGAAAATATAGCCCTGCTTGAGCATTTTCTAAATATCTCATTTAGACTTTGTTGTATATCCACCTGCTCTTTCAGTTACTGATGTTGATCTGATGTGTTCTAAAAATCCTAATTTATCTAGTTCTAATCTTATATAACATTTCCAAGACCACAGCAAAACTAATGACACAATTTTCAAACAGTTGTTTAGAATCAAGACTATTTCTTAAACTGTAAATTTGAAATTCTAATTGGCTCTGTTTTAAAAAATGTACTAAAGTGCCTTAGCAAGTGCTATTAAAAACTCATTTATTTAATCAGAATTGTAAAATAGTACAAAACTTGGTACATTTTCATATTAAAAAGAGGGTAAAAAATAATAATATGATTTTTGCTAACCAATTTTGTTACTTAGTTTAATCAAAAACACTTACTGATCTTCTGGAGCTATCGGAAGCATATCGAACGACTCCATTATCTCTGTCCAGGACATATCTTCTGCAAACAATTAACAAAAATTAGAAAACTATTTGCAATATCATTCCAATGTGTTAATAATGAAAGAAATAATTTAAAAGATAGGCTTTTAATATATTCTTTGGGATATTTTCTTGTCTCTCCTTTGTATAATATTAGACCAAAGTCTTGCTTGGTTCACCAATGAAAATGATGTTTTGAACAAAGAGCAAAGAGAAGATATCTCTTCAGAGAAAAATAAAAATAATGAACAATTGAATTTTCTCTGAACATTTTGCGGATATGGATTTCAGATAAGATCACCGTATTTCATATATCCTACTACAAATTATTAATGATCTACTATATATTAATAAATTATTGCTAATATGGTAATAAACATTATCATAATAAAATACTAACAGGTGGAGTCCATTTGACGAGCAATATGAAATATTGGATATAAAATAGAGAAATGCAAGTCAAAAAATAAAGAAAAGGCTCTACTAAAGAGTAATATAAAATACTGGGAGCAATTAAAAATGTAATTTTAAATATACTGTAAAAAATTCCAATTGTTGGAGTTATTTTGCGTGCCACAGATTTCCGTGGCTCGCCAAAATGGCTGTGGTACCGCCATTTTTAAATTTTTTTTTTACAATTAAATTTTATTTTGTTTCTTTAAAGTACAACAAATAACTATCTTTATTATCATGATTTTAATACTTTTCCTTCCGTCCGAAAAAAATGGCAAAAACATACGTTTTTTTACTGCTACAGTGGTGTAACCCTTTAATTGAATCTCAGATCAGATAATCATATTTTATAGATTTTGCTGCAAAATACTAAAAATCAACCAAGTATCAATAAATTATTCTTAATATGGTGATCATCATGATAAATAAAATCATCATCTTAAAAAAAAACAGGAAAGTGAATGTAGACCTAAAACTATCTAATAATCAATTTGATCATAGTCTTTGGTTTATTTTGTTAAAGTTTTTCCGTAAAAATTTTGGATTTAATCGAATCACAGACAAGATCACTAAATTTCATAAATCTAATTGCAAATTACTAAAAATCAACTAAATGTCTATAAATTACTGCCGATATGGTGATCATCATCTTTGTGGCACCAAATTTTACAAATATATAATATGCATCCCAAAATATCAGCTAAAATCAATACTGATTCAAGATAAAATTTAATCTAGTAAATTCAATCATCAAATTTAGATTTTGGCAAGTTGTAAGAAATATTTCCTAAAAATAATAAACGAATAATATAAATAAAAAAACGAACTGATGGAAAGTTTTAATTTTACAAAAATTCAAATTGTATTATTGTCTTCAACCTAGTTTAAACTTCTTCAAAAAATTAGAACAGAAATTTTACGATATTTACTAGGGTAAATGATATACTAGAACTAGACCTTTTGCATCAGCATGCATGATATCATATAATCATCTATTAAGATTTATTACCAGCTTGTATCAAATTAGTTATTACTACATGATGTTATTACCAAAAAATACGATTTGGATAACAGTCAGTATAGACACATCTTGATTAATCACTAATATCCACCCATACACCACTAGTTACTTCTAAAATTACCTGTCTCTGCTTTCAGAAATCCTTCTTCTTCTAAATATTCCTTTTCTTGAACCCGAAGGCCTCAAAGTTGATGATCGCCTTTTTCGCGAACCCATTATTGTTACTGAAAAAAAATTGAGAAAATTTGAAAAAAAAATTGAGATTTATTTGAAAAATATTATATTAAATTATTAAGTTTATCCCTTTTACACCTAATAGGATAACAAGTCAAAATTTTACAATTGATCCTCTGACCAATGTCAAAGATTTTCAGATCAGATGTCAATTTATTTAAATAACATAAATTTTTATATTTTTTCTATACTTTTATTACCGTTTCAATGGATTGCGGTGAATTAGTTAAATTTGATATGCTCACCTTAAGTTTTCCAATATTTCATGTTAAAAATGGACTATTACTAAAATTTTGAAAACGAACAATTTTCGAATGATGAAACAAATGATATTGACTCGAGTCCGACGATTGCTTTGTGATCGTAAAAAAAGGAAAAAAAACAAATATGAGTCTTGAATATTTTTTTAAATTATTAAATGTCAATTTGAAAAAAAAATAGGAACTAGCTGTAAGTGGAATTCTGTCTTGAGGCAATTATGGCACCGTGCCTTAAGGCAAATTGCTGGAACTTCCCGTACCGTAACGAAATGTTCGAGGAACACTGAATGTTTTCAAATAGATTATTATAAATATTGTAACATTGTCTAATATTTATAAGAATTATATAAACTGAATGCAGAGTTGAAATTATTTGTAAAGTATATTAGAACTATAGTCAGAATTAAAAATAAAATCTGAAATATTTTCGATATACAAAAAACTAAAAAAAAAAAAAAAAAAAAAAATTGAACAAAATTTTTTTTTCCAAAATCAATTATTTTGTTAAGACAAGCAGAAAGTTCTTTAAATCATTTAAATCGGACGCTTAGTTCTCTCAAAAACTGCCATTTTTTACATCTTTAGCTCAGTATCTTCAAAATGGCTGGGCCTGCCTTTGCCAAAAACTAATATACACTTCTCCCAATCATTGCTAATCGAATGTTTTTAGATCATTCCAATCGGATACTCCGTTCTCTCAAAAATTCGATTTCTATTTCTGCACTCTTTGCTCCGTATCTCCGAAACGGCTGGACCTGCCTTTGCCAAAAACTAATCAGCTCTTTTCCCTATCAATAGGAATCGAATGTTTTTTGAACCATTCAAATCGGTTGATCCGTGCGCCCTGAAACGTGACTGGAAATTTGTATCCATACATACATACACACACACATACACACACACACACACACACACATCCATTTTTTCTGAGGTATGCCAAAACGTTCAGAAACCTTCAAAACGTCGAGAAATGTAAAAATTTTCAATTCCGATTTTCGGCCCATTACATTAACTTACCCTACGGGAAGTTAACAAGGTCGAGTTTGAAGTTATTTCGAATAATATAACTGGTTATAAGTGGCATTTTGCCTTCAGGCAAGTTGCATAAAATTCTATTATCTACTAACACCAGCTACTATATAGCTAAAAATGTTTCAAAAAACCTGCTCTTTTAGATCACTTTCCCGAAAAAAACCCGACCGTTAAGTGGCATAAATAGCAATTAATTACGAAGAAATGATTCTTCTAATCACCAAATTTTCTGTAAAAAAAATTATTCGAATTATTCCAGCAAATAGTTTTTTTATTATAAAAGCTCGAAACCAATAAAAAAAATTTGAAAATCAATTTTCCAAAAATGCTACAAATCCTAGTCTCAAGAGGCGTCCATTGATCACGTGATTGATCATTTTAAGGATTTTCAGGACTACCCCCCCTTGGTGATTCGTGGTGAAATTCATTCAATTATCATTCAATTCAATTATCCCCTAATTTTTGAATTTTTTTTTGAAATTGTTTGGATTTCTAGATAAAAATTCAGGTAAAAAATAAATACACGTGATATCTTACTATACTCCTCCCTCTCCCACGTGATATTTCAACCCCCCCCCCTCTCTCCTAACAACCAATTAATGGACGCCACTTTAAAAAAAAAATCGAATTTTACATTTTTTCCTTATCAATTAAGATCACCATTACTATTGCTATAAAATGTTTCATTAAATCACAAAAAATACAATCATTTACGAAAAAACAACCCATATCACTAAATTTTTTGTAAACAAAATTTGTTCGAATAATTTCACGAAATAGTTTTTTTTATAGAAGCTCGAAACCAATAAAAAAATTCGTAAGTGGATTTAGAAGATTTTATGAATCCTAGTCTCTAAGGGGGCGTCTATTGATCACGTGATCAATTTTTTAAGAATTTTTGAACTTCCCTCCCCCTTCCCCCTATTAAGAGGAAAAAATGTAAAATTTGATTGTTTTTGAAAATGTTTATTTTTTTTTTAAAAAAATAGGAAAAAAAGAAATACAAGTGATATCTTAGTATACCCCCCCCCTCTTTCCCCTACGTGATTTTTTATTTCGAATGTAAAAATATGCATAAGGAATCAGTTATTGTTTGTTTAATTTTTTATATTATTTCAAAATTTTAAATAAAAAAGTAAACGTAAAAATTAATTTTTTATGCATATTTTTACATAACATTGCATATTTATTTGTAATCTGGTAGTAATATCAGTTAATTATTTATGAAATAAAATTTTTGAACAAGTTTTTTTTATAAGAGCGGAGGGGTGCAGTGCAAAAAAGATTGGAAGCCACTGCTTAATTATATAGTATCTAAATATATTAAAAAAAATTCAATATTGAGATCTGTGAAACACTTTTAATACCAATTTATGGGTGAATGGAACACTTAAGGGTTACTTTTACCATTTAATACATAGATAAGGAAATATTTATTTATTTCAATAAAACAATAAATGATATATTATAAGGTCTATGCCCCTAATATTTAATAAAGTTTTTTTTTGTTACAATTTATTTTTGTTAATCAAGACATTAATGCTTTATTTACAAAATTGATATGTGCAAAAAAGAAATATTACAAAAAATACAATAAATTGAATATAAAATGAAAAAAGTTAAAATAAAATGAAATTAAAATATTTAATAAAGTGACATTAAAAACAACATCAAATCAATATTTTGACATGAAAAATTATTTGTTTATTAAAAATTTCAAATATTTTTTGTGCCTTCTAAATTTAGACGTTTGCTTTTTAAATTGTTTAATTTAAAATTAATATCCTTTCAATGTAAATTTAGAAATCGATCGTACAAAATCCAAATTTCTTTTTCCATTTACAATTATTTTTGATTTGGCAATGAATGGTCCTAATAACAAAAATTTCCAAGATCAGCAAAAGCGTCTGCCTTCGGATCATAATAAAGTCAGCACTTTGCAGTATTTGGACGTGCACAATGCCATGCTGAATTGTCCGCAGACTCTGGTACAACTGGCAGGTAAAAAAATAAGGATAAACTAGTGGTGCATGGCATCGTGCCTTAAGGCAAATTGCTGGAACTTTCCGTACCAAAAATTATTTTTTTTAAAAAAGATTAACATTTTTGATAAAATTTGCTCTGAAAAAATTAGATTTTTCAGAAACTATACACTTTTGACAAAAATTTACTTTTTCTTTAAAAAAAAGACTTTTTGAAGAAAAATCTATTATGAAATATTTTGGAAATTCTGAATTTTTTTGTTCAAAGCAATCATACTGCTTTAACGGCATAGAGACTAAATATCAAAGCGCGTAAGCGCCGCGCCGCCGTCTAACGAATAAACACTGGTACGGAACCCATAGGAATGTAAACAAAATTTATACTTATTATTAAAATCTCTAAAATGTCTGATAATTTGATGTGCATATGCCTAATGATCATTTTTGTCCGCCAAATGGCATTTTTTTTACTTTTTTTTACTAGATCTCCCAAACCGTTAGACCTGCCTTCATGAAAATTTGATCAGTTCTTCATCTTGTTAATATAAGTAAAATGTTTTTTGAATTATTCAAAGCGGACGCTTCGTTCTCTTAAAAACTGAGTTACCGTTTTTGGCAATTTTTGCCCCATATGTTCGAAACGGCTAGACCTACCTCCGTCAAAAACTAATCAGCACGTCTCCTTATCAATACGAATCGAATGTTCTTTGAACTATTCAAATCGATTGATCCTGAACGTCGTCCAAATTTTGTATCTACACCTATACACATACAGAAAAATACACACATCAATTATTTCTAAGGTGCGCCAAAATGTTCAGGAACTTGTGAAACGTAAAGATAGGATAGAATATCAAGGAGAATGTCTATAACTTACTCTATGGAAAATTATAAAGGCCTGTTGGCAAGTTGCTAAATATGTTTTAATTTAATCACGTGACCAGCTATATATACTAGCTGGCCCTGTTGTTTTGCTAAACAAGGTATATTCTAAACAATTTCTATAGAATCAAAAATATTAATACTTTGAGTGTACAAGCATGTGTTATTTGAATGCTGTATACAATGAGGTATTATAAAAACAATAAACCCCATTGGTTTGTCTATATTTTGTCAATACAATCAAATTGGATGTTTTATACTTATATATATATATATATATATATATAGAGCAGGGCAAGGCACAAAGGTCAAATTTGATTTTGAGCAAATATTAATTATATTATAATAATCAAACCAAATATATAACAGCAAATAAACACTTCAAACGAACAATTATCTGTCTACGTTCCGTGAAACTGCCGCTATTTCATCATTGTAGAAATGTGCTTTTTTATGTCTTTCAAAAATTTGTTACCCCATAGACAAGTTAACTTGGAACGGCCAGATGGCAAACAAGTTTAATGTCTTATTTTAATTTTAAAGGTAATTTACAAAATAATTACATTTTAACTAATGCTAAAAAACTACCAACGGAACAAAATACTTTTACTATGGATTTTCAAAAATTACCGTTTATCTCCCGATAGCAAAGTCATAAGAATCAAGGTTATAGCTGGTTATACATCTTTTTCCCTCTACTTTCAAAAATTGTTGTTAAGCAATGCTTAAATTAACTGGTTTTTCACACATTGGTGGTGGACCTTTTTAACACCGGACCTTCATATATTACTATCTATTTTTCGATAAATTCTGGGAAATTATAAGT